GCGCTGCGCATCCATTCAAATGAACTGAAAAATATCACAGCTCGCTTGACGGAGAGTGAAACTCTGAAGTGCTCAGTCAGTGTTCTGCGAGTGAAAATATATCTGTGCTAATCATATACTTAGCCTCCAACTCACACACTGGCGAGTAAAATCTGAGAATTTATTAGCCATCGGCTAATATTAGACATCATTTAGTCGCCCAGAGTGAAGATTTACTCGCATTGGGTTGGGTTGACGGTCTAGGAGTACGAAGCGCATTGTAAGCGCTTCGTGTTAAAAACGGCAAAGCACAAAGGGAAGAGAAATTAATGCGTAGTGTATTAAATCTGTGCAACAGTTTTTGAGCCTTTCTTTTAACGGTTTTAAATTTCAGTTACTGTGCAAGTTAAAAACAATTTATAGTCTTTTCTACGCCCGTGTTTTGTTCTCACAGACACCCGGTAGCAAGTAACAAAACATTAAACTCTGGCAAGATGATAAAGTCTTTTTTGCAAAATCATAGACATGTATTTACAAATCAAGTATAATGGGAACACAGAATGATCTTGGAGAGAGCTTTACCGAGCGGACTGCTGTAACCGAACGCGACCAGGGTTTAAAGGCTGAACGAATGACTGACAGCCACAGCGGAGAAAAGAGTTTGTGTGAACTTTAATGTAAGGACTTAAATATTCATATGTAGCTCACATTAAGCTATCGTATGGCTTCAGAAGTAACAGAATAACCGATCCAAGAAAAATGGTAGTATCAGAGCTGATACCCGATATGAATATCAGATCGGCGCATCCCTAGATTAGGATTTAATTGTAATATAGTGAAGTAAACTTGGGCGTCCCACAGAGGGCACAGGTGAGAGTTAAAGGGTTAATCGCTACTTCTAACAATTACAGTTCATTAACCACAATAGAAATATTCATGGTTTACCGAGAAGAAAAAAAAAAAAAAACCTTTACACACGTATGCCAAGTTAAATGCATAAATAAAAATGGAAGCTTAGATGTCAAGCTTAAAATAACTTTAAACCGTAGTATTAATATTCTATCTAAATTTGGACAAATTTATCCCAGTGATGGCATAGCTGAATTTACCGGTCTTCAGTGTCACATGATCCTTAATCATTTTAAAATGCTGATTTGGTGTTCAAACACCTCAATGTTGAAAAAGCAATCTATATTAAATAAGCACAATTAATGCATTTATTTTTAATTCATTAACAATGAATAAACATAGAAGCTCAAATATGCAGCATTCCAGGTTTACCATATTTTATGCACTTTCATTGTAATCATGTCTTATGTGAAAAGCCCAAATTAAGTAGATCAATTAAAATTTCACAAACTAGAGGTCTACACGGAGGACCCGAGACCCAAGGGTCCCAATCTATTACGTCGGGTCCCGGGTCTGTTTAACATTGTGTGTAATACCAGAGTCGATCGGACTCAGAGAACACCCGGCCGTTATCGGTGTCAGTCAGTGCTGTGCGGGTGTTGTTTTGTAACTTTCAACTTGCAAAATTATATTAATTTAAAAAAAAAAAAAAAAAAAAAAAGTATATTTTTGACATTTCTCAGTTCTGCACGGGCCCGGGTCCAACTTTCAAAATAATAGACGGGTCCGGGTCGGTTTTTTTGGACCAGTGTAGACCTCTAATCTAAACTATGATACATACTGTCGCCATTCAGAATAAATAGCTGCTTTTTTGTACAGCAATAGATCAGGAAAACTATTGTCACACCCTTAATAAAAACATCCTTCTAAAAAGGTTTTGTTTTCCACAAAAGAAATAAAATCATACAGATATGGAATTACATGGTTTGACATGAAACTAGACTCACCTGAGAGTGAGCAGCTGGTGTGCTGGGTATGGCATTGACGACATACCTCTCCGTCATCCAACTACTGTCTCTTTGATGCCTCTTGAGTTTCATCCTACGGTTTTGAAACCACGTTTTCACCTTCAGAAAGAAAAAGAATTGATAATTATGATAATCTACTAAAACTTCAATCATTTCAACATTCTCTTTATAAAATCACAAACCTGTTTGTACGTTAGACCCGTTGCTCCAGCAAGCGTCTTCATCTCTGCGGGCGTGAGGTATCTCTGGATATTGAACCGGTGGATCAGAGCACTCATCTGCTCCTCAGAAAAGGCAGCCCGGGTCTTGCGGGTCTGGGTTGGAGGTCGGGCTGTAGATGTGGTCAATGCAGGCAGTGGAGGCAAGGCTTCCACCCCCAGATTCAGGCTCACTGGCTCCTCTCTTGCTGCAGAGATGGAGTTTGAGATCTGCTCTCCACTGTCAGGACTGCCACTGTCCGTCTCATAGTCCCGATCTCCCCAGGACTGAAGATTGAGGTTGGTCAGAGCGGCCCCCTCACGACTGCTGCCCGAGCTCCAGGAATCTACTCAAATGGAGGGGGGGGGGGTTGTTTAAACAAAAACATGGTAGACCAATACATTTGTAACAGAATTTGATGAAACATTAAAATGCATTTATAAAGTTGCTTGCGTTTCCTTAAAGTGATAATAAACCACAACACCTCAGTGGCAGATTTATTGACAATTTGGCATTTTTTGGTAAACTAAATAAAGCTTAGCCAATTACATTTGTATAATAAATAATAATTGTATATCTATTAAGTTTGGGTATGTTGAGTTTTGCTGCACCGGCAACTAACTGAAATCATTTAAACTGGCACACTAATAATAAAACTAAAAAGGGTGAAAGCCCATTACAAAATTAAAGCTTAAACTACTTAATATAAAAAGAACATTCAAAATATTGAAATCACATTAAATACCACAGATACATAATACAATTATTTTTACTTTCATTCGAGATGAGTTTAACATGCATTAATATCTTTATAAGTATTTTTCTAGTTAGAAATTAAAACTACATAATTTATTGATAATAACGTTCTAAAACAAAAAAAAAAGTTGAAAAATTGTATTTCTTTGGGCTATCGATGAAGCACACAGAGAGGAAAAATAAATACATTTTCACTCAGAAATCCCTACTAAAGCGCTCAATGGAATAACAAGTTAAAAGTTGAATTAAATGTGAAATTTAGAGGTATAAACTCAGAAAAGGTATTCTTACAATACCATTTAAAATAAAATCGGTCATCTTTTCACAAACTTGTGAAACTGTAAATTATAAGTAGTTCCTTGGCTGGGGATCATTGAAGATTAAAATGCTTTAATTAGTGAGGCTTTGGGGTGTCAGAGGAGGGTTACCTGGCGTATGGGCCTCTGTATCACTGGGTGTATCGCTGCCGGCCTGCTCTGCGTCTTTCGGCTTCGGATCGGACTCAGTCTTACTGTAGGAGAGGAAGAGCCGCCCGTTCTGCGCGTGGCTCGGATAGTGGCCGTAGGCGCCGACACTGCCGTTCTCCGGGCTCCAGGGCGGCGACTGCTGTGCGGTTTGCGCGGAGTAATAGGTCGCGGTGACCCCGCCGGAGTGAGTGTACGCAGCCTCGGCCCAGCTGAGATTCGGGTGGCCGTGCTCAGACACTTGCGGGTACACGAGCCCGTATGCATACGCATGATAAGACGGGTTGAAGTTGTAATTTACTGGCATCTTCCAATCCGCCATTCCGTCGTCAGATGAACTCAGAGCGGAAAGCAAATGTGCAGAGTTGGACCAATTAATGGCCTAATTGACTACAACGACCCAAAGGGCTCGACTACCCTCGAAAACGGATGACTGTAACAGCTCTCCTCCTCATAGTACCGCAAACCGACCCCTTGACATGACCTGAAGAAGACGTGTGGAGAAGCTGATTTATAAAGCCAGGTGAGCGGGAGTGGGTGGGGCGGACTGCGACGAGATGCTCGGACCAATCAGGTGCAAGTTCTAAGGGACGGCAGCCACACCCTCATTACACATTTACCTGGACCATATATATAGCTATTATACTTGCTTATATTCATGTAGCGTTTTAGGTTTTACATTTTTTTAACTATATTACTGTTTAGCCTACATATTAAGAAAATGACGCTGAAAATAAAAAAAAAAAGTTAAATTTTTATTAACAAATTTTACCCACAACTTTTTAAAAATGTATTATTTTAAAGAATGACGCTAAAATGAAATTAAAATTAAACGTTTGCTTGTATGTCTTAAACTTTTTCAAAGTTTATTTATTTCTGTTTTAACTACAACAGAGAACTATTATTTTAAAATATTTATCATTTAGTTAAATTAACATACTTTAGCACATTAAAATGGTAGGCTACATGAAAATGATTTTTTAAATAATTGTGATTATATGTGCCCAACAGGTTATTTCATTTAACCCATGACTTTTTGATAATGCACCTGATTTTGGTATTTGTTTTTGCATTTTAAACCTAAAAATAGGTTACATTTCCGAACATAATTAGTGCAGGCTTCTTATCTCTCTAATCTATTGTCTGTTTTAAATGTTTACCACAGTTTCTTTCAGGGGAATTGCAAACTCACAATCATTTCTTTAGATTAGCATGATTAATCATACAAAAGCAAGACAAAGCCTCATGTGAACAAGTTTTAGAACCATATAAGTGTGATAATCTAAAGCTTTCAGTTTGAAAATGTTTGTGGAGTATGGAGTGTATCACTGCTGGGCATTTACTGACAGGACTGTTTGAATGCCTTAAACAGGTTTGCCTTAAATTACCACCTGAATAGGTGTGTTTGTAGTCCACCCTGCCTGCTGCATTAGAATGGAAATATTTCTGTATGAGGTGAAAATATGTGATAATCATGGAGTGATTGGAGAGACCACAGATCTGTTTATATGGGAAAGAGGTGTGAATGAGTAGGGAGGTGGTTGCAGCAATGCATCTGCCTTTTGAACTTGTTTACCAATTTAGCAAGTTAGACAAAATAAGCAGCTTTATAAAAAGTACATTTTTACTTTAGGATATATTTTAGGGGGGGGATATATTTTATCTGGGGGTGGGGCTTGATGGGGCTTGATGTTGTACTAGTGCAGGGCTGTGGTGGGGGATTTTAAACAAAATCCTAATATTAAACAGCCCAAACACTTATAGATGTACATATCAATTAATGAAGACAGCATTATATAAGAATGAATATATATTTGTGCTTTTTTAATTTTAGCTCAATAATATTTTTTTTTCTTTATTTGTATTATTTTAAGGGGATTTTACTAAATATTAATGTCTAAATTATGCACCATTTATCTTCTGCAATATCAGGGTGTAACCTCTAGATGGCTGTATAGCCCTATATATAAATACATATAAACCGTTTGCTGCAGAGTGAGAACTTAAGACATAAAGCAGGTAGCTTGCATCAGTTTATTCAGTGATATATTTTCAGACATTATTAAAGACTACATTTACTAAGAGTTTAAATTTAAATGTTGATTTGAAGTGTCAGTTATTACTAAATCTGGACATTACATTTAATGCACAGAAAGCATTTTTTAGGCTACTCATACTAGCTACAGCGTGATCAGTCACACGAAAGTCATCAGAATAAATATTGGTTCAGTGTGACCAGGGCAATATTTTAAAACGTCGAATTGAGTGTTTACATACCATGAACAGAGATGGAGAACAAAGAGAAAAAACTGCAAGAAAGTGAAAAATCTTTAACGTGATTTGTGTCTTTAATCTAATCATATTAGATTAAAGGGCTCTCCGTGCCCACCTCCATCTGTCAGTGGATCAACGGCTTCCTGACAGACAGACAGCAGCTAGTGAGGCTGGGAAAATACACATCCAGCACCAGTATAACCAGCACTGGAGCTCCTCAGGGTTGTGTTCTCTCCCCACTGCTCTTCTCCCTCTACACCAACGACTGCACGTCTAAAGACCCCTCTGTCAAGCTCCTGAAGTTTGCAGACGACACCACACTCATCGGCCTCATTCAGGACGGTGATGAGTCTGCTTACAGACTTGCAGTCTCAACAACTTGGAGCTCAACACGCTCAAAACTGTGGAGATGATCATGGACATCAGGAGAAACCCCCCTGAACTCCCCCCACTCACCATCATGGACAGCACTGACATACAAAAACTGTCTATTGTAATATACCTGCACATACAACTGTCAATTTATATATTTTTATTCCTTATTTACTTGTTCTATTTTTTTTTTATTATCTGTGTTTTTGTTCTGTCACTGTCATTCTGTTACACTGTGGAAGCTTCTGTCACGAAAACAAATTCCTCGTATGTGTAAACATACCTGGCAATAAAGCTCATTCTGATTCTGATTCTGATATAGTGCATTGTGGTGCACTGATTCAGATGAAAATCATTTTATGTGTGAAAAATGTGTGTTGGTGAAGTTGTGAAATCAGCAACACTGCAATATTTTTAAAATGTTTTAGTTCTATTCTACAAACTTATAACAATTAAAATGTTTAATATTTTAATAACAAATGGCTAAAATAAACCATACAGTAATGTGCACGTTTTTATTTCAAAGATAAAAGTAGTTTCCTTTTGCTGAATAAAGACAGCAACTGATTCTGTGTTACAGTTTTATTAACAGATGTGATGAAAGCATGACATAAATGACATTTACAATACACCTGTATGAATATAAAATACATGGTCATGTTTTTTAAAAAAAGGTGAAAGATACACAAATGTCTACTTTGTAGGCTAGAGGTGTTTAGGGATACTGATCAACACAAGCCAAGCACACGTCATGATTTCTGTGGTAATATCTCTTATGGATCTAAAAACCTATAATAAATTCCTATATGAACAACAAATGGCAAACAGAGATTTATACACCATGAACAAACCCGATGAAATCAATCTAAATGTTGAGAGAAGAATCACTATAAGCAGAATTTACTATAAATTACTGAAATTGGATTAAATCATGTAATTCAGTCATGGTTTTGATCTGGAGAAAACCTTCATATGTGATTTAAACCTTTTTAGTTGGATTGAGATTACCTTTGATTATCCTGATTTTAAAAAAAGTGTGGATTTCAGGAACAAAATGTAGTAAAACTTTAAGACTGGTCAAATAATACAACATTTGTATCATATAGTATACATATTTATTTATATTTTGCAGTTGATTTGTTTAACCATTACAGTGATAAAGTACACATTCTGATGGTCATCATCATACACACAATCCACCATTCCCTGTATCGGACCAAAAAAAAGAAAGAAAGTATTAATTATGAGAGCGTTTAGTCTGCAACTGGACACAACTGATCCACACATCCTGCAATTTTTCATGTGCTGAATGTTGTAGACTCAAGCACTGCTGTATTGTGCTGCAAAGTTAAAGGTATATTGACTCAACTTCACTGACATTTAGCAACTTACATTTCACTGACATGTACAGGACTTGAAGTATTACAGACCATTTGATATCATAAGCACCTTATCTTCTGTCTTCTTATGATAGAAATGCCTATGTTGTGCCTTCATCATTTATTTTAAAAATGACCTTTCTATGATGTAAAGTGGCTTGTTCGTTAATAAAGAACTAGTTTGTGAAAACAACTGTTTGCATTTTGCCTTTATTTTTTACTTTGTAGAATAAACAGAATTCTACTGTGATCCCAGACTAAAGCTGAATTTAACTTTATGGATTGTTTTGATGCACTCTCAATGTTATCACTGCAACTCTGCAAGTTGTCACAAATTATTTCCTGACAGTTACTGTCAATTCTCCTAATTTAACCTGGTTGGAGTACAGTAATGTTACCTCCTTACACTGGAGTTAAAATATCTCAAGTTAAAATACATCTTAAGAGTGTTAATTTTGGCAGAAATGCAGAATAACCCATAATTTTGTTTTATTTGTAACTCTTTGGTAGATACATTTATAATTTCCATTGCAATACTACTAGTGGCTACTGCTAATAAAGCAGGGCTGCGTTCAACACCGACAAAAACGGTGCAAAACGGTTTTTAAACGGAAACGGGGATGCGCTGAACACCCTGCTCTGATGACGCAGGAGTTGCAACTATGGCAGCTGAGAAGGCCATTCTTTGTGTTCTTTTTGAAGAATTTTCGGAGCCTGATGAAATCAGTATAAATACGTGTTTAATACTGCAAAATACGCTCGATGGTACAGTCACTGCCCTTGCCCTCCAGAATAAAAGAGAACATCCCAATCGAGTGAAGGGATTTGTGGAAACTGTGGTTCCTAATTATTGTGATCCAACATTTGCCTCGCATTTCAGGATGAAGTGCACACCGGTTTGAGCTTGAACTTGCCCCAGATCTCTGCCCCCACTCCCCCACTCCCCCTTAGCGGCGCTCCTGATTGGCTTATTTCATGCACAAGCAAGTCAACTTGCCTTATTTATTTATTTTGTTTAACGCAAACAGAAGCATATTCGTTCGGCTTGTTTTTCTGTAGTGCAGTTTTGATTTGCAATAATGGTGATAGATGTTTGTCATCTGCAGAGCATCTCTTTTTAATGGAGATTCAAATGCAAATAGCCCATTAGCAGTTCATATTCTCTAGCATGCATCTGCCTCAACATGATCCACTTCAAAAAAAAAATACGAACAACTTTAAAGACTTTACTCCTTGAACGACACACAAACAGTTTCATATGATTTGTCTTCTTTTCATAGGCTTGTGCACAGTGAATTTCGACCTCCTTAACCACAGCTGGCGCTGTTGTTATAGTAGCGCTCATATCTTCTCTTCATCACATGATTTTTTTTATTGGGCTGTGGCCCCTTTAACAGCCAACTCACGCGGCGTTCTGTCCTTCTATCCGCTTCTATCCCGCGTCGCGTGGTAACTTT